GTACAACTTGGGTAGGACTTACCCATTTGCTGTCAGAAATAAGATAAATGATTCCATTATCTAAAAACTTGATGACTTTATTTTTCACCACTTCTTTCATATTAGGATTGAGCCTTCATTATATTTCCCTAAAGGGTTTAGCATTTTCCTCCAAATAAATTCTGTGTGTACAAATCAAAGGACTAATTCCTTTTATGTCAGCAATGGTCCATCCTAATGCATTTTTATGCATTTTCAGAGTTTGTAATAACTTACCTTCTTGATGTACATTAAGTTTGGAAGAGATTATTACTGGAAAAGTTTAATTTTCTCCCAAAATGAGTATTTAAGATTGAATGGCAACGACTTCAAATCAGGTTTGGGTGGTTGAACACTTGAAGGTATGGACTTAATTGATCGTGGTGGCAATTCCTCAATTTATGGTCTCCAATTACTTGCCTTTGATTCTTTCTGAAAATAAATCATTTGCAAATCATCAGATTCATCAATCTCAATTTCACTGGAAGTGGTTTGAAATTGATCATGAATTAATTTTTTAGTAAAGTCCACTTCTTGAAAATCATTATCATGTGGTCTCTAAGTGTTCTAACACGGTTATTCTCATTATAAAGTGATTGATTATCTTCTTCGGCCATATTTTCTAAAAATAATGAGGATACCTTACAAAGTCTACCACTTAATGTATGTGACCACACTCTCATGCACGTGTAGTAATATAATAAAAAGAAGGAGAAACAAAACAAAAGAAATAAAAGTATATAAAAGAAAAATAAAAAGAGAAAATAAAATAAATATTATAATTTGTGCAAGAACTTACCTCCCCGGCAATGGTGCCAAAAACTTGACATGACCAAAAGATTGATGTCTTCTCCCAAGTGCAGGAGTGTTGAAGTAATAAATAACCCAGCAAGACCGGAGTCGAACCATATGGAGGTTAATTGTATAAATTATAGATAACAATAATACAACAATAATAACAACAACAATAGTAACAACAACAATAGTAACAATAATAATAATAATAATAATAATAATAATAATAATAATAATAACAATAACAATAACAATAACAATAATAATAATAAAAGAAGAAGAAGAAGTTGATGAGAACTTTGAGATGGAAGATTAACATAAGGATTACACAATGATAACAATAAATGTCAAGGTTAGAGGATCCACTAATGGTATGTCAAATAAGTATAATATAAACTCTTATTACTTAATTGGAAACCACACACAAAGGAGGTTCTAATTAGATTATAAATTGTTAATGTGATTATATTAATCATCTTATTCGATTAATTCTAATACTTGTAAATCTCGTCAGGCATTCATGATTATAACTTATGTTAAAAACAAATCATATTCATTTCATAGCTCAGGTGTCGGTTATACTATACAGTATGAGCTATAAAAGTGTCAAGCATTTGTTATACTAAGTGTTATACAACATAAATCTAGATTAGTCATTTAACAAGAAAAGTATTAAAGAGTGAACAAGATAATACATACAAAACATATTAGTATTGATTAGTACTTAAAAGTGCATTTTTTATCAAGGTTTTATGTCATCATTTTGCACTTGAAGTATCAATAACTCCTTAACTAAAGCATATTTTATAATAATATATCTAATAATATAAGATACCTTTAATTTATGGTAAATGTTCATTTTAAATGTAGACCTATCACATAAATGAAAGAATTGATTGATGAATTTAAAAACTGAAATTGAAAGGACAAAGAAATGGTCAAACTTAGAAAAGAGATGTTGGTGCAATCCAAACCGGAATATTGTTCGGTAATTGGGTCATATCTGGAGTTGTAGATCTCGGATTTAGATCTATTTTATATGGATGGAAAGGTAAGACATAGGCCTACAACCTTCATAGGCGCCCAAGACTTAAAAAGACCATTTTCAAGTCCAAATTGTAGCAACAACAAAGAAGTCCGAATCAGTCTTCCAACCCGAGCACTATTCAGTATTTTGGCCATATCTGGAGTTCTAGAAGTCAAAATGAGATGAATGTTATACACAAGAAATCTGAGACAATTTCCTACAACTTTCATGTTTCAAGTGGCTCTAATTATGGACTTTAATGTTTGATACTAACATGTTTTATATTTGTTATCTTGTTTACTCTTTAATACTTTGCTTGTTAAATGACTAATCTTGATTTATGTTGTATAACACTTGGTACAACAAATGCTTGGCACTTTCATAGCCCATAATGTATGGTATAACCGACACCTGAGCTATGAAAGGAACTTGATTTGTTGTTAACATAAGTTATAATCATGAATGCTTGACGAGATTTACAAGTATTAGCATTAATTGAATAAGATGACTAATGTAATCATGTTAACAATATATAATCTGATTGGAACCTCCTTTGTGTGTGGTTTCCAATTCAATAATAAGAGTTTATACTATACTTGTTTGATATACCATTAGTGGAACCTCTAACCTTGACATTTGTTATTATTATTGCTTAATCCTTACATTAATATTTCATCTCTAAGTTCTCATCATCATCATCTTCTTCTTCTTCTCTTTCTTTATTACTATTATTATTATTATTATTATTATAGTTATTGTTGTTATTGCTATTATTGTTGTTTATAATTTGTACAATTAACCTCCTTGTGGTTCGACCCCGGTCTTGCCGGGTTATTTATTACTTCGACACTCCTGCACTTGGGAGAAGACATCAATCTTTTAGTCGTGTCAACATCAATCTTTTCATCGTGTCAATAAGCATTGCCGAAAGAACCAACTATATTGTTATTCATTTATATCACCCATTAATGGCCTTTTCTTCATCATCTAAATAATTAAAAAGTAAAAAAAAAGTAATAAAATTCTCATTATATTCTATTTTAAAAAAGAAATTTACAACATCTTTCCTATACTAGAGATTACCTAAAATTTTATTACTTGTAAATATGCATCAACAAATAAAGCCATAAATCAATTTGAATTTATTTATGACTACTATTCACCAATTTTAACTTTTACAAACAAATTTATACAAGTTTAGCAACAAAACCTATTTTACCACCATTTTCCTTCCTTTCTTTCCTAAACCAAAATTCAAAACCTAAAATTCATGATTTATTTCATAAAATCCTATACCATCCTAGCATAAAGCAACAATATCATTCAATTACAATGCAAGACAAATTATTTCAAACATATATATATTTATATATATATATAAATCTATTGATATCACATAATATCACAAAATCTAGACTTATAATGGAATTCCTTCCAACATAGTTAAGTCATCATCCTCTAATAAAGATCAAGCAAAATAAGTGTCATCTTCTTTTGGAGAATTATCCTTTCAACTTTTGATTTTAAGATTTGATCATTTTAAATTATGTTTCACTTATAGTTATGCCTTTATATTAGTTTTTATTGATAAAATAATGGATTTTTATGCTTGAAAGTTATAAGAAGACTAAAAAAAGGTATTTTTAATTTTAGTTATATATTTTTATAATAGTTACAGGAACACTAAAAAAGCTAAAGTTACAAGAACACTAAAAGTTACAATTTATCAAAAATCATCTTTTAACTCAATCATTTACCTCACACCATTAACATTTCTTACACTAATTAATAATATTTGCCTTCACAGCATTTCTCACATTCAAAGCCGAAACCTTTATCAATAATCACTTTAAAATAATTCTACAAATCACCTAATTTAATTTCTTTAGAATCAATAATTCTATGTATATCATTCTTCAATTTAGTAATATTTTTAACATCAAAACCAAAAAAAAAAATCCACTAAACTCCCTAGCCTTTTACTATAAACCTTTAAAAACTTTTTTTAACTTTTCTCTTAATTGCATTCAGTTTAAACTCATTAAACCCCTTTAATATATAAACTGAATGGAAAACCGAACAACATAAACCAAAATAGCAGCTGGAAACACTATAATTGAAGAAACCCTAACCCTAAATATATGATGCAAACATAAAAACATGTTTATTATCATTAGTAAAGAAACTTGTTCCTAAGCATTTTAACAAATTATTCTAAATAAGTTTTATTTCATGATTTCATAAAAAAATATAAAAAGGAAGAGCAAAACTTTAGTTAGCATTTTAATTTGTATATGTTTCTTAACTTGCCAATTTAATATTTAGCTAGCATGATAATAGTTATTGGCACATATGATCCTCTATTTATTTTATTACATATAAATATCAAATTTTCAATTTATAATTAAAATTTTGACTAGTTTACTTGTAGAATTTGTTTTTTAAATGTAGTAATTAGTTTACTGTTTCAAATCAATCATTTTTGTAATTAAACTAAAATACTCAAGTAAAAAAATCACCAAGCCAAACTTGAATATGTAAAATCTACTGCTATTGCTACCTCTCATGAAATTCTATATTTTTATTTTTACATTTAGAGTTCCAACCATGCAAGGTGTTATATTGTTCTCATTATCCCGCCCGCCCCATCTTTTATAAGTCGGTTAATTTTTTTTATAATATTTATAAAAGGAGATAAATATAAACAAAAGAAAGAGATTTATATTTATTGTTTGTTTTTTATTTTAAAAGTGTTTTTGAAAAAAATTAAATTTTATTTATTTTTTATTTTAAATTAATATTGTTTTGGTACTTTTATATTATTTTGATACGTAAATATAAAAATAATTTTAAAAAAATAAAAATAAAAATATTATTTTAATATTTTTTGAATAAAATATATTTTAAAAAGTAACAACAACCACACTCATAAACAAACATGTTAAATACATTTGATAAGAATATCAATCTTTTTTTCAAAAAATACTTAATTCTTTTTCTCATATTTTCCATCTCCTATTTATATTTAGTTTTCTACTTTAATACTTATAATTACAACTTCGGAACATAGATCCAGCCCACTAAAACTCAATAGAAAAAAGATTGAAGCCCTAACCCCCCAAAATGAAAAACCCTAGTCAACCACTCACATAAATACACTAAACACCTGCACCTCTCTCTCGTCTCATACATCTATTTGAGAGGGTGAGTGACCCATAAAACATAACTCTCTCCCTCTCTCGCGGCATCCTTCTCTCTGTAAGCTATCTCCCCTCTTTGAATTCTTAATGTCCTCTCTATCTAGATCTGTTAGTAAAATAACAAACTGTAAAAAATATATCATAGTTTTTTGGGAGCTTCTAGTTATTATTAGCGTTAAGTATGATTATAACTCTATTGATGGTTCTTTTGGTCTTATTAACAATTGGGTTTTTAATGGATCTTTGTTTTCGTTGATTGTATCAAACATGATTGATTTGTATGTTTTTTTGCTCAATATTTTGATGGGGTTGATGAAACCCTGTTGCTGTTTTTGTGTGTTTATGCAGGTGGTATTGATATTGTCTTTGGATTTTTAGAATCTAGTCAAGATGGTGAAGTTTACAGCAGAGGAGCTTCGGCGTATTATGGACTACAAGCATAACATCCGTAATATGTCCGTTATTGCTCATGTTGATCATGGTAAGAAATTTCTTTTTCACTTATGTGAGTTGCTGCCAATTGGATACATCCGTTTGAATTGAATGTATATACTTTATGTTTTTTACTGGAAGATTTGTTGTTATTGAATGTATATATCCGTTTGAATTGAATGTATATATTCGACTCAGAATTGCATCCATTAGTTGTTTTCCTTTTTAATATTCCTTGTCTTTCCATGTTCTCCAATGTAGTAGGTTAGGTGGTTACATGGATAAAGTTCCTGAATCCTTATCCCTTTGTTTGTTGGAAATGTTTCAAATACTTTATGCTGTCCCCTTTTTTGACATTTCTATTGGCTTTTAAATTCTTATTTTACTTTTTTTAAAAACATTTATGCTACTATCAAGTTCTTGTGTTAGTATCTTGTCTTCGTTGCTGCATTTAAACTTTGCAATTTATATCCCACAGGAAAATCAACGCTTACAGACTCTCTTGTTGCCGCTGCTGGTATCATTGCCCAAGAGGTTGCTGGTGATGTCCGAATGACAGATACCCGTGCTGATGAGGCAGAGCGCGGTATCACTATAAAATCTACTGGTATCTCTCTATATTATGAGATGACTGATGAAGCCCTCAAGAACTTCAAGGGAGAGAGGCAAGGGAATGAGTATCTCATCAATCTTATTGACTCCCCTGGACACGTTGACTTTTCATCTGAGGTCACAGCTGCTCTTCGAATTACTGATGGTGCCCTCGTGGTGGTGGACTGTATCGAGGGTGTCTGTGTTCAAACTGAAACCGTGCTTCGACAGGCTTTGGGTGAGAGGATCAGGCCTGTCTTGACTGTCAACAAGATGGACAGGTGTTTCCTCGAGCTCCAGGTTGATGGAGAGGAGGCTTATCAGACATTCTCTAGGGTTATTGAGAATGCCAATGTCATCATGGCAACATATGAAGATCCCCTCCTTGGTGACTGTCAGGTCTACCCTGAAAAGGGTACTGTTGCTTTCTCCGCTGGTTTGCATGGTTGGGCTTTCACTTTGACCAACTTTGCCAAGATGTACGCCTCAAAGTTTAAAGTGGATGAGGGTAAGATGATGGAGAGGCTGTGGGGTGAGAACTTCTTCGATCCTGCTACCAAGAAGTGGAGCAGCAAGAACACCGGTTCTCCCACATGCAAGCGTGGTTTTGTGCAATTTTGTTATGAGCCAATCAAGCAGATTATTAACACTTGCATGAATGACCAAAAGGATAAATTGTGGCCCATGCTCCAAAAGCTTGGTGTTGTCATGAAGTCTGAGGAGAAGGACTTGATGGGAAAGGCTTTGATGAAGCGTGTGATGCAGACATGGCTGCCAGCAAGTACTGCTCTGCTTGAAATGATGATCTTTCACCTCCCCTCCCCTGCCAAGGCTCAAAAATACCGTGTGGAGAACTTGTACGAGGGTCCTCTTGATGATGTTTATGCCAATGCTATCAGGAATTGCGACCCTGAAGGCCCCCTAATGCTTTATGTATCTAAGATGATTCCTGCATCTGACAAGGGTAGGTTCTTTGCCTTCGGACGTGTTTTTTCTGGAAAGGTATCCACTGGTCTGAAGGTTAGGATCATGGGACCAAACTTTGTCCCTGGTGAGAAGAAGGACCTGTATGTGAAGAGCGTGCAGAGAACCGTCATTTGGATGGGAAAGAGGCAAGAAACAGTTGAGGATGTTCCTTGTGGTAACACTGTTGCCATGGTTGGTTTGGATCAGTTCATCACCAAGAATGCCACTTTAACAAACGAGAAGGAAGTTGATGCCCACCCTATTCGCGCTATGAAGTTCTCTGTGTCTCCTGTTGTGCGTGTGGCTGTTCAATGTAAGGTGGCATCTGACCTCCCAAAGCTCGTTGAAGGTCTGAAGCGGTTGGCCAAGTCTGATCCCATGGTTGTCTGTTCCATCGAGGAATCTGGAGAGCATATCATTGCTGGTGCAGGAGAACTCCACCTTGAGATCTGTTTGAAGGATTTGCAGGAAGACTTTATGGGTGGGGCTGAGATCATCAAGTCTGATCCTGTTGTGTCTTTCCGTGAGACTGTCCTGGAGAAGTCCTGCCGTGTGGTGATGAGCAAATCTCCTAACAAGCACAACCGTCTCTACATGGAGGCACGACCCTTGGAAGAAGGGCTTGCTGAGGCTATTGATGATGGCCGTATTGGTCCAAGAGATGATCCTAAGAATCGTGCCAAGATCTTGTCAGAGGAATTTGGTTGGGACAAGGATCTTGCTAAGAAAATCTGGTGTTTTGGTCCTGAGACTACGGGACCCAACATGGTTGTGGATATGTGTAAGGGAGTTCAGTACCTTAATGAAATCAAGGATTCTGTTGTTGCTGGGTTCCAATGGGCATCAAAGGAAGGTGCTTTGGCCGAAGAAAACATGAGAGGTATCTGCTTTGAAGTCTGTGACGTGGTTCTCCATGCTGATGCCATTCACAGAGGTGGTGGTCAGGTTATTCCGACTGCCAGGAGGGTTATCTATGCTTCCCAGCTCACTGCCAAGCCCAGGCTTCTTGAGCCTGTTTACTTGGTGGAGATCCAAGCTCCAGAGCAGGCTCTTGGTGGTATCTACAGCGTTCTTAACCAGAAACGTGGTCACGTGTTTGAAGAAATGCAGAGGCCTGGGACTCCCTTATACAACATCAAGGCATACCTTCCTGTTATAGAGTCTTTTGGATTTTCAGGGACTTTGAGGGCTGCAACATCAGGACAGGCTTTCCCACAATGTGTTTTCGATCACTGGGACATGATGTCTTCTGATCCTTTGGAAGCTGGCACGCAAGCTGCTCAGCTTGTTACTGATATCAGGAAGCGGAAGGGTTTGAAGGAGCAGATGACACCTCTATCTGACTTTGAGGACAAGCTATAAGCATTTTCCCATTCTTGTTAAAGCAACTCGGTTACCTTGAGAGATGATGGAGTAGAAGGACCATTTTTGCTGCTTGGTTCTTTGCAGCCTCCTCATCTGTGATGTTTTGAAATTTTGTTACCGTGGATTAGTAGTCGTCCTATTGGAACAGTGGATCATTTTATCCATCTTCTCTTATAAGAACTCCGCACATGTTCTGTTGTGATGAAGTTGGTAAGCTTTAAACTTTCACATTATCAACATGCTATATTTAATTTTCAGATGGTGTATTCCTTAGTGCTACTATGTATGTGTTTGTGGTGATTATATCTGCAGTCTTTATGCTATTTAGAAGATCATATGCGGTCCCTCTTTTTCATGTTTGATAAATAGTCTAGACTTTGTGTTTGTGATCTGTGACTCTTGGCATTGTTTTTTTCAACCATGTGACTTAGAGAGGTGATTTTTTTTTTTCATGTCTCAATGTCGGCAGCGAAGCCTTTCATTGCGCTCTTATCTTTGCTTTCTTGAGATCTGTTGAATACATGTTTGGCTTGTTTTAAAGATGTAACTGGAGTCGGTACAGATTTGTTTGTAATTTTATCAGCAACCATTTCTTTTCTTCTCTCTTCTAGAATGGGAATTTTTAATTAAATGAGCAAAATTGTTGTGCTTGCCGGTGTAATTTTATGTTGTTAAGGAGTAATTAGTTGTGTATTATGTGGGTTATTTTATGGGTAATTTGTTTGGAAAAGGGAAGAAAAAAAAAGTAACATATATCCCAAAATATTAATCCATATTGCAAATAAATCTCAACTAAGAATTGAAAATTGGCATGGCAAGGAACTAGAAAATGGAATGGAATATTGCAGAAAAAATATACTGATCACATCTCGCAAGTAAAATGCCTTCCAATACAAGAAATGAAAACATATATAATGTGGGAAGACAAGTGAATTACTGATCACTAGAAATTGCTTTGCAACAGATATGGTCTTGCAAGGGTGTTGAAGTTTCTTTCTTTCTTAGTTTTTTTTTTTTTACCTCTTTTTCGACAGTGAGACAAGAAGAACTTCACTAATTAAATCCTATATTTAAGACCTAAAAATCAATAATAATTCCATAAGCTGGACATGCCCACTTCAGATATGTAACTTTCTGAACTACCTTCTCCCAAGCTTGGTGACCCTTTAAGGTTGCCATAGCTTTCCATCTTGGTAAGGTTATTCAAAACAGCTTTTAGTACCTTTGTGTCACAAGAAAAAGAGGGAGCGGTAATATCCATAGGTACTTTTCCAAATGGGCTAGTACACTTAGCGGGTGCGTTCGGGATTTCCATCTGGGTGGTGTACGGAGCCAGGAGATTTTGGCTGGTTTGGTTTTGTGAGAAAATGGAGAAGCAGGGCACTTGCTCGTGCTCATCGAAATTGGGTTGAGTTTGCTCGTAAGTGATGTATGAATCCAATAATGCAGGCAAAGATGAAGAACCTGTGTCATCATTGCAGCTTCCCATGCTAGGTTTGGCCACAACTTCTCTGTTACTTTTACAGAACACTCGGCATAAAACCCAGTCTTCCTGCATGCACCAAGAAAAAAAAAGGTGAGAAATGGTGGTCAAGATATTATGCCTTACAAGCTAAGAATAACAAATATATAATTAGGCTTACATAAGATGATTATAAAATACACATCTTAGGTCAGCTACTAATGTGATTTTATATTAGCACACTTGCCGTGACTCGTTGAACAAATTAATTTTGACACTTTTTTTTTGGCTCCGAGAGATTTCCACAAGATTAATTAAACTATTCCCAAATAAATTATTGTTTATTTAAATGTTGACGTGATTTGTTGTAGGTATTTGATTGTGATGGATTAGTTTTTTAAAGTATTTTTGAAATTATTTTTTGTTTTAAAAAATTAATAAATTAATATTTTTAAAATTTTTGTTTTAAAAAATTATTAAATTAATATTTTTAAAATTCTATCATACTGAAGTTAATAATGATTTAAAAAAAAAGATATTATTTTAAAAGGAGTGTAGAATTTAGTTGCAGTTGGGTAAAAGATTAATGAACATCCCAATGTTTGTAAGAATATATTAAAAAAAAATTATTATTTCATTTTGGTTCCATGTATTTTACATATTGGATCAAACTCTGATATTATTTTTGTACAAAAAGAGAGAGGTGCCATTAGACTATAGGATAAATTACCTATTATAAATTTGTTTTTTTTTCCTAGAAATAAAAAAATTAAGGGGATAGATTTAACTTCATATATGAAGACAAAAAATCTTTTAAAAAAAAACCCATCAAAGATATATTACATGAAGTCAAAGGTTTCAACATACGGAATGAAAAAAATGTTGGTAGAAGACAAGAGGTACCATGATTCTTGCAAAAACTTAAGGAAAAGATGCATATGCGTAGTAAAACCTTGAGCATGGAACTTCGTCAAAAGTCAAAGCTGGGCCAAAAGTAAATTTCAAATAACTGACTAATTCATATAGTGTGAATGTGATAAACCCACCTTATCTGAAGAAATTTTTGGGGGACCAAGAGGTCCTTCAAGGCGAAACTCATGCATGACCCAGTCAGTTCTTTTCCCTTTGGGTGCCCTACCCTGGTAGAACACCAAGGTCTTTCTCATGCCAACAAGAGTGCCCTTACGGAGGACATGCCTGTCCTTCCCTGTGGCTTTCCAGTAACCAGAAGCTGTTGCGCGATTAGTTCTCAATCCAGTTGCATACTTGCGATCTCTTTGGCTATAAAAATACCATTCCTTGCCTCCTACGCGTGCCGCTTCTGCCATATTCCCACACGTAAATTTTATAAGAAATTCACACATCCTTCAACTAATTGAATTGGACAGCAAGACTGTAAATCTGTGAACTAAGGTAAACTGAAAGCAAAAGGGAAAAAAAAAGAGAGAGTAAAGAATAAGTTATGAAACCAAAGACTTCGATGGCTTTACCAATATTCAAGAGTCAGATATAAAGTGCAAGACTTTGGTTACCGGTTAGGTCAACACTGAATGTCTACGAAGACATCCAAATTAAGGCACCGATTTAACATCGAATTGGACGATGAAACGTCCAGTCCACCAGCCTGAGGCCATGGATTTTAAGGCACTCTCATGACTTGATCGTAAAAACACACGGTTCAACTCACTTCAACATCGAAACTGTGCCTTTTTAATGCCTTAATTGGGATTTGCGAAGGCAAGATTATCTTGGACTTGGAGTTTTGTTTTCAATGATATGATATGGAAGCCAAATTGCGTGCAGACAATGTTTGGAGAATTTATTTTTTTTCGTTTTATGATCATGAATTTGTTATAGTGACCCGGTGTGATGATATTCAGTCTATAGTGAAATAATTAAAAAAAAAAAATCACTAACGATGTCAATATCAAAGGTGTTTCATATGACTCGGCATGGATAAGCACATGATGGCACCAAAAGTGACTCCTCATGCAGCTAAAATATACAGATGACTGTAATCAAATGGCAGTAATGCTGTTAAGAGGTCAATGCCCATGTATTAATGAGAAATCATTCAAGGTAACGGTGGTGAAATATACAAGGTGACAAAAACGAAGGTTTCGTGCTTACGACTGTGACACGTGTGATCTACAAATTCGAGTTGAATATTGTGGTAAATAAATAGGAGGAAAAACGACATGAAGGACTTTAATGTTCAATGAAGGCGGGTGACGACAAGCCCGAATGGATTTGGTAAGAATTAGAAGTTTAAAATCCAATTACTTTGAGCCATGTGTGATCATAAGAGAGTGGTGGTCACGAGGTTCGGACAATAAGGCATCTGACTTTAGGTTTTTGCTTAGCTATTTCAATCACTTTCATGATTTTTTATTTTAGGTGATTTGGGATAGTGCCAAGAATGTCAATATCTTAAACAAAACAAAAACAAAAACACTGAATATATATGAGATATTTTTATTTCATAGCTGAGGAGATATTTTATTTCCTAGCATATGTAGAAGCCTAATTTAACTGGCAATTTCAAGAAGGTGGTTGAGCATTTCCATCTGAAATATATACGGTGGAAGAAACCACAAAATATTTTATTTCATATTCTCAAGAACTTACCAAATATCAACCCCTCACCATACGGGTTTCCTAATTTAATTATTTAAGGGTTATTGTATACATTCATTTCTAGTTAGATTTTAAAAAATAAAAATTAAAAACACCATAGTCAGCTGGTTGAGAAACAAATTAGTGGGTTCGTACTGTTATGGTGTACCCAGTAAGATATAGTTTGCCTACAAAAACTAGAGCAACTTTTATATTTTTTATTCTATAACAAAACCATTTATTCTTTTATTTCAGCACAGCTTAATTAAATGATTCAATCTGATGTGGATATGTTATATCCAGTTGCATGCATTGTGTGATGAACAGCTAGGAGCATGCATCACCAGAATTATCAAATACATATATAAAACAGGTTGCTATCATCCTTATCCCGAGAAAGTGAAAGAGAAAAAAAACTCATGTCCCTTGCTTAAACATTAAGAGCTGAGTCAATGGGGTGTATTATAAGCCTTCAAACTAACCTAAAGCAGTATAGATCGATGTAGACAATAACTCGTGGGAAGAACTAGAGCATAGTCATCTAGTGATTAAGATCATCATATCACCAGTATTCTTCCCTCCCTTTGCAAGTTATCGAAACAACAAAACAAAGAAAGAAGCACTTTTCTAGTGTGTGCATGGAAGCGCTTAATGAATAGAAAATCATAAACAGTACAATCTCAAATGATTCAATGGGACTGGAGTTGTGAACAAATCATATAACGAGTACAATTGACATGAAAATCACGGTGAAAGTGATGATTGTAAGTATGGGATCATAATTATAACGAGGATTTAAAACTCACCAGGGATATCCCAAGGCTCACACTTGTTGAGGTCAACTTCTATCATAAGAAGGGAATCACAGTACTGAGAAGCCTTGTTCATCAAGTAATCGCATACAAGTTCTTCATCTTTTGGATGAAACCTGAACCCCGGTGGCAACTTTGCCTCCACAAAGCTTATGTTGCTCATTTTCCTCTCCCTTTCAACGGACAAGGCAAGCTAATTAACAGAAACACAGTATTTATACTGCCAACAACAAAGTGAACAGAGGAAGAAGAGATAATATAATATCCCCTCTAGCAACAAGGCCAACTGGTGGTGTATATAAAGGCAAAATTAACCAGCTAAAGTCAACTTTGTAGTTCCGCATAAAAAAGGAAGGTTAGGATGTTTGCTTATGTATGACAAAAGATGGGCCAATCACTGCCTATCTGCTGATGAGAGCACACCATAATGGACGGTCTTTGATTTCCAACTATTTGG